GCGCCGGCGGCGGCGGCGGCGGCGGCGTGCCGCTGATAGATATCTATGCAACGGGAGCCATGTTGAACTCCAAAACCCAATGGCGGAAACCCAATGTAGAAATTCATTCTCTGATCGGAAGGCGGGGGCATCTTCATGTGGATCTGCGACGCTGAATGCGCGAGCGCCAATCGCCAGCGCGCGCGCGGCGGCGGCGCGCCGCTGATAGATGTCTATGCAACGGGAGCGCGGTTGAACTCAAAAATCCAACGGCGAAAACCCAATGTAAAAATTCATTCTCGGATCGGATACGGGAACAACCCCATGTGGATATACGACACTGAATGCACACATGCCAATCGTCAACGCTCGCGCGCGCGGCGGCGGCATGTCGCTGATAGATTTTACACCACGGGAGCGATGTTGAACTCCTAAACCCAATGGCGAAAACCCCATGCAAAGATTCATTCTCTGATCGGAAGACGGGAACATCCCCGACGGCATTCTCCCTGGTGCCGAGGTATATACAAGTGGCATCGATCGGCATTCATGGAATGTTTTCCAGGGGGGGCAGATAAACAAATAGTTACTCGGATGCGAATTAATGGCAGTCGGGATCCGGGGGGGGGTGAGGGGGGGGTCACCATTTTTAGAACTGGTTTTGGACATTAACTGCTGGGGGGGCTCTCATGGCTATGGTCCGAGCGAGGCCTCCCAGACCTCGCTGCAGGACTGCAGCTTGTTGGGAGGGCGTCACGTTGCCTGTGGTCACATTGATCCAAGCATGAACCTCGCGGACGAATTCGCGGAAATGTACCTGACCGGCCAGGTCCCAATGGGGGCAGGTCGTTCTTGTGTCGTCTCCGCCACGCATGTGTCCTACCGCACACCTGATAGCGACCCATGCGAGCCCAAAGATAGTAATGCCAATCCAATGGCCTCGCAGGTCGTGGTCGGATGTAGTCGGTTGGGGATTTCGATGTGTGGTCGTAGGTCTGCGTATGGGGGGAGGCGGCACAGTATCGTATCGCATGGTTCCATGCATTGTCTTCGGAGAAGTTTCCAATTGGAGCAGGTGGGTGGACTTCAGGAGTGTAGTAGCGCAGGGATGTAGGACGAAAGTAAGAGGCCCCCGCGTGGGCAGAGGTGTCACTGCAAGTGTCCTTGCTATATTGCGTAATTATATACAGTCCTCCGCGCAGACCCACTGCACCCTGATGTTCCACCACGTTTGTAGTCCACCAGATAGTGCCGTGGATGGTGACGAGTAGAGCAAGAGCTGACCACCATAGGCCGGCTCCGCTACCAAGTTTGAAAAGGGCTGGGAGGCCCAACCAACAGCTTCGCCCAAGGCGAAGCCAAGCTCCCGCTCTGTTGTACCGCAGTAGCGGTAGTCCCAGTAGTAGGGGGCGAGCCATCTCAAGCAGTTTTGGTATTGATGGCAAATAGTACACCTCGCGCTGAGGTGTAATCAGATCTGGGCGGTCGGCTACTTTGAGTCAAGCAGCCGCGAATGCAGGCTCGTTCCCACCCACATGCAACGCCCAGCTCACTTTAGAGTGTGCGAACGACGCGGGCACAATATTTTAGACGAAGTCTAGCAATGATGCCTCTGGGCACGGAGTGGGCGGGTCCTCAGGTCCTCTCACTACCCCTCTAAGCCTCAATCCTCGCTCCTCCTCCTCCTCCTTCTCCTCCGCCTCCTCCTCCTCCTCCTCCTCCTGAAGAATATGCTAGGGGTCCGGAGCCCCTCGGCCCAAACCTCTTGGGGCTTGCCGCGGTTCTCCTGGGCCTCCCCGGGGCTTGCCGCGGTTCTCCTGTTCGGGCCCACGGGGGCTCCAAGACGGGCCAAGAGGGCCCCAAGAAGCGCCCGAGACAGTCCAAGAGGGCCCCGCGTCGCCAAACGATCGCTAAAAGACGCTCAAGATGGCCCCGAGACGGCCCAAGAGGCCCTCAGCCGCCCAAAGAGGCCTCCAAGAGGCCTCCCAAGAGAGGCCAAAAAGAAGTCTGGCGTTATCACCTTTTCGGTTCCCCGACGTTCCCAGACGACCCTAGAGGCCCCCAAGACCGCTCCAAGACGGCCCAAGAGGCCTCCGAGAGGGACCCCAAAGGACCAAGGGGGACTAAAACATCCTAAGAGGCGCCCAACACGGCCCAAGAGGGCCCCAAGACGGCCCCCCAAAGGGCCCCAAAGAGGGAATGCGAACCGAAAATCCGAGCCCTCCGCCCCAAGAGGCCCCCAGGATGCCCCAAGAGGCGCCGAGGAGGCCTCTCCCCAAACAGGCCCCCAAGAGGCGTCCACACTGCCCGCAAGAGGCCCCCGAGAAGCCTCCCACGAGATCCCAACGAACATCCAATACGCTTCATACCCACAACCCAGGCACGGTGGCGGGATGGGCAGAAGGCCATTTGATACACTGACTTTCTGACCGTCGCTGCTCTATCTGGTTCCTCGGTTCGGTATATGATCGCATTGGGACGGCTATGGTGTGCGGTCGTTTGTGAGTTTCGAAGCCAGAGCTACTGGGTCCTCACGGGACCTCTCGGGGGCCTTTGGGGGCCCATTAGGCTCGCTGGAGCCCTCCTGGGGGGCTCGGAATCTCAATTCAAGTTCCCCGTTTGGACCCCTCTGAGACCTCTTGGGCTGTCTGAGGCCCTGCTGGGCCGTCGATATGGGAGGCTCCTTGGGCCGTCTTGGACGCCGTGAAGGCCGAAAAGTCGCATATGCTTAAAACGCATGCTTTCCAAAAGGAATTGGGTGATCTTTGCCTCTTGGAGCTCTCCTGGGTGGGCTCTTGAAGGCCTCTTTGGGCATCTTGGAAGCCTCTTGGCCAGTTTGGAGGCCATCCGGAGCGCCTTGAACCGATCGCTCCGCGACTCGGGACCCTCGTGGATCGTCTGACAGGCCTCTTGGAAACTTGATGGCCAGTCTTGGGGGGCCGTCTGTGGGACCTCCGGGGGCGCTCTGAACCCAGCCCCGCCTGCGCGCCAGAGGTCAAGTCAGATCCGCGTTAGATGTATATGAACACCCTTTGTGTACAACTACAGTTGTATATAAACATATACATGAATACATATAACGCACACATATAACTATAAGCATCTATAGTTAGATATGTACTAGAAACATCGCGCGCGCTCAAGTTCTGGCAAGCTTCTTGGGGCCTCCTCGGAGCATCCTGGACTGCTTGTTGAAGTCGTCATGGGACCTTCTTGGCATGTCTTCGGGGGCCTCTTAGAAAACATTGTTTAGCCTTTCGGGTGCCGTCTTGGGGCCTCTTGGAGCCTCTTTTGAGCTTCTTGGGGGCCTCTTGGGGCCTCTTGGGGGCCTCTTGGGGCCTCTTATGGGAGCTTCCTGGGGACATCTTGGGGCCTCTTGGGGGCATCTTGGCGCGGAGAGCTTGATTTTTCAGTTCGCGTTCCGTCTCTTGGGCCCCTCTTGGGGCCTTCTTGGGACCCTCTTGCGCCGTCTTGGGAGGCTCTGGGGCAGTCTCCGGGCTCTCCTGGGCCGTCTTGGGGCCCTCTTGGGGGCCTCCTGGGCCGTCTTGGAGCGGTTTTGGGAACCTCTTGGGCGGTACTGTAGCGCCGGAAACACGAAACAGCGAGAATGCAACAACATTGAAAAAAGAAAACAACAAACAAAGATGTTGCTCTCTCGGAGCGCTCTTGGGTGGCATCTGAAAGGCCTCTTGGGGAGTCTTGGGGGCCTCCGGGGCAGTGTAGTGTAAAACGCATCGTGCGTCGCCGGAGACCCCTGGACGGCGTCTTGGGGGTGTCGTGAGACCGCCTGGGGCCGCTGGGATTGCTGTCTGAGGGCTCCCCAGGGCGATTTTAAGCCTCCCAAAGGCGGGCCCGGGCCCCGGTCCCCACATTTGTGGTTGAGGTTCCGGCCCTCGGCCCCCGAGCCCGGTGCGCCGTTGTATGTATGTACTTATGTATGTACGTACGCACGTACGTACGTACGTATGTGTGTATGTATGTATGTATGTATGTATGTATGTATGTATGTATGTATGTATGTATGTATGTATGTATGTATGTATGTATGTGTGTGTGTGTCTGTCTGTCTGTCTGTCTGTCTGTCTGTCTGTCTGTCTGTCTGTCTGTCTGTCTGTCTGTCTGTCTGTATGTATGTATGTATGTATGTATGTATGTGTGCATGCATGTATGTATGTATGTATGTATGTATGTATGTATGTATGTATGTATGTATGTATGTATGTTTGCATGTTTGTATGTACGCATTTATGTATGTAGGTATGTAGGTATGCAGGTATGTAGGTATGTAGGTAGGTATGTATGTCTGTATGTATGCATGTATGTTTGTATGTATGCAGTTATGTATGTAGGTATGTAGGTATGTAGGTATGTAGGTCTGTAGGTATGTAGGTATGTAGGTACGTAGGTACGTAAGTATGTATGTATGTATGCATGCATGCATGCATGCATGCATGTATGTATGTATGTATGTATGTATGTGTATGTATGTATGTATGTATGTATGTATGTATGTATGTATGTATGTATGTATGTATGTATGTATGTATGTATGTATGTATGTACGGCTATATTTAATCATACACTTACATTTAAATTCATACTTTTTTATTTATATATATATATATATATATATATATATACATGCAGCACGTGCAGTTCCTCCACAGAGGGAGCAGCCCCAGCCAGCACCCCTGACGCCCGCACGCAGCAGGCAGCGGCACCCGCGTGGAGTGTGGAGGCGGCGAGGCGCGACCCGCGGCACGCGAGCCCAGAAGATGGGAGGAATCGTTGTCGCCGTCGTCGTAGCAGGAGGAAGGGGAGGGGGAGGAGGAGGAGGAAGGGGAGGAGGAGGAGAGGAGGAGGAGGAGGAGAAGGAGGAGGAGGAGGAGGAGGGGAGGAGGAGGAGGAGGAGGAGACGGAGACGGAGGAGGAGGAATCGTCGTCGCCGTCGTCGTAGCAGGAGGACGGGGAGGAAAAAGGGGAGGAGGAGGGGGAGGAGGAGGAGGAGGAGGAGGAGGAGGAGGAGGAGGAGGAGGAGGAGGAGGTGGAGGAGGAGGTGGAGGAGGAGGCGGTCGACCCGCCCAGATCGCCCGACCTTGAACGGTCGGCCGATTTCGAAACGTCAGAGCATTGAGCATTCATCGATTCTGGGTCGCCGGCGGCGTTCAGCGCACCGCCGGTCGACACGAGGCGATGCTACCGTGCAGAACCACCCGTTTGTCGCGGGGGGTGGAGGTGGACGAGGCCTCGGGCCTGGGGTCTAGCGGAGCTCCTCGAGCTCATCGGCGAGAGTGCCTGCGTGGGCAGAGGCTAAGCGGCGCCCTGGGGGCGGCGGGGAGGAGGCGGCCAGGGGGATGGCGACGATGGCGACCCCGGGGCCTCTGCTGCGGCGATGGCGGCGCGCCTGCCTGGCACAGAGATGTCCTGTAACAGATGGATGATCTTGGTATGAGCGATTTGGGTTTCCGCGCGCAGCTTGTGCAAATCAAAATTGGTGCTGGTCCCCTTGAGTAACATGCACCCTTCAACAAATTCTGTGATATCAACCTGCCCGTCGTCGTGGGATGCCTTGGCCAACGATTGGAAAAATTCCAGGATGTGGTGCTTCTGCAGCCCCATCATGATGAGCAACTTTGGGAGACGCTGCTTAGTCAACCCCAACATGAACTGCTCTTGTGTCAATTTCCCTGAGCGGTCGGTGTCCACAGCCTTGCAGAGGCTTGTGAGCTCCGCGGCGTGCTGACGCTCCCGGCGAACGTATTCGCGGGCAAGCGTGTATGAATCTGGTGAGAGAACCTTCATCGCCGAATCCGCCGACCTTTTGTGGGTCTCTAGGCATGTGAGATTGTTCCCTCCCCGTAATCCCTCCCAAGGACTCCCTCCCAGGGACCCCGAACAGCGAATTTGACAACCGCCCCCCCGGGCCCCGGTTGAACGCGCCACGGGGGAATGGAGGGCCTCACAACGGGCCAAGAGGGCCCCGAGGGGCCCCCAAGACGATCCAACAGGGCCCCGAATCGCCGAAAGGTCGAGCCAAGACGCCCAAGATGGCATCCAGACGGCCCAAAATGCCGCCAAGACGCTCCCAGAGGCCTCCAAGAGGCCCCCCGAAGAGGGCCCCAAGAAGCAACAATCTTCCCGTTTCCCTTGTTGGGAAAACGTATGAGTCGAACACATTCGTTTTTAGAACGACTGCGATGGCCCAAGAACCTCCAAGATCGCCCCGAAACGGCCCAGGCGGCCCCCAACAGGGCTCCGCAACGGCCCAAGAGGGCCCCAAGACGGCCCAAGAAACTCCCAAGACGGCCGTTTTGGGCCCAACGCCTGGATCCTCACTCTTCGTCCCCCCCCCCCTGTCTTCCTCATCCTCTTCCGTCGCACCCCCTGCCTTCCTCTACCCCTCCTACCCCTTGTCCTCCTCTTCCTCCTCCTCCTCCTGCTCCTCCTCCTTCTGCGCTTCCTTCTTTTCGGCTTCCTCCTCCTCGTCAGCTTCGCCCCCCCTCTCGCTCTCTCCTTCTGGCCCTGCTCCGACGAACCGCAGAACGGGCGCTCGGGTGCGCATCATTTGCACGTCTTGCGCTTCAAGGTGCACTTCTTTTCGTCGCGCGCGACATTGTCAGGACTCACGGAAAACGCCGATGTCGGCTGTTTTCTCTTGCACGTGCCACTGCACTGATACGCCTGCCAACTGCGCGCCGTAAAACCAGAGTCCTTGCAATTTGCGCACACTACTTTCACTCCCCTCGTCAAGTGTTCCGTCTCCTGCGCGCAACTGATGGGACCCTGCCGCGGGAGCTCCTTTTCGAAACACCCCTTCACTCCTATCCGCATCTGCAGGGGCTACGGGAACTATCAAGTTTCGTGCATGTCGAACACGACCCCGAAACCACGATTACTCCAAAACACCCTACTCATGAAGCCACATACCGACGCCGTGAAGGCGTCCACCGCAGCTGGCGATAAAAGGCCGTACAAACACAAGGGGTCGGCGGATGTGGCCTGAGCCTATAGCATCTACAAAAATACCCAATATAATATTCAGCAGATTCAAGTTCACGAACGCAATGAATGCTAAGAATACGAAACTCCCAATCGGACCTGTTTCCTCAATCACTTCGTACGTGGAAATCCAGTCATCGCCACCCGTGGTTACCATGAAAAGCGTTTTGACGGAACGGTCGACCGAACCGAATAGCTCGCCAAATGCGGTATCATCTAGAGCTTCTCCTGTTGTGTCGATGTGAGTGGTGATCACCTGCATGAATAAAAGCGAGAATACCCCGTATACTGAGAAAAGCATGACCACACTCCACATGAAACTCGTGAATGAACCCTGGATGCACGTCATGAAAGCATGTAAGTATTTCAAGTTGTCCATGAGCCGGAATGCCTTGATAACCTTTGCGAGTTTCAGAAAGCGGAATACTTTCATGAAGCTCAGCCGAAGCGCAGTGCCCAACACCAGAGCGGCGCACTCCGAGACGACCACAAACAAGTCGAGCGCATTCATCTTCCAGTGGGCTCCCGTGAAGTACCAGACCCTGTGCACGGCGAGCTTGAGCGCCACCTCGGAGCAGTAGATTACCAAGAACACCACGTCGGCGGCCAGCATGCTGCGATCGGCCGGGTCTCTGATCTTGACGTTGGCGTCGTGGACCATGAACCAGAGGTTGAGGACTATCACGGCGCCCATCAGCAGCTCGAAGCCCGGGCCATCCATTAACTGGGCGAGCCGCCCCGAGCGCTGCGGCTCCTCGTCCAGCCACCACGCGCGGCGGCGCAGCCTCTCAAGCAGCGCCCTCGCCTTGGAGATGATCTTTCTCCGCAGCTCGCTCAGGTTGGCGTCGTCGTCGGTCCCGAGGCTGCTGTTGAGGCTGGGCCTGGCAGAGGGCCTCTTCAGGGACGAGACCATGTGGGTATCCGCATAGTCCTCCTGGCTCTCCTCGCGCTCCGCGCCCCGAGCTCGAGGGGACTGCTGACCGTCCCCGTCCGAGTCTGACGTCTGCACCACGGCCTCGGCACCACATCGGCTTGGCACCTGGCAGTCCGCCGTGGCAGGAGAGCCCTGAATCGAATCGATAAATCAGATCGGCAATCGACATGAATCGGATCGGCAGAAATCGGCAGCCGAATCGGGAAAAGTCGAATCGGCGGAAGTCGGCAGGCTAGCATGCCCCCAATAAGACATCGGAATCCAAATCGGAAGCCCAAGCCGAATCGAATCGGAATCGGAATCCATCGAAGTCGAATCGAATCGACTCGGAGGAATCGAAACGAGCCCCGCCGTGGGGAGCTCTGCCCCTCCCCGGGCAGGCGGCGCCGTGGAGTCGCCGCCGCCGCCGCCGGCCAGAGGGCCCCCCGCCGTGCCGGACTCGGAGGAATCGAAACGAGCCCCGCCGTGGGGAGCTCTGCCCCTCCCCGGGCAGGCGGCGCCGTGGAGTCCGTGCCGGACGGCGTCGTGCCTCAAGGGGCCCCAGGACACTCCTCCTCCTCCATCCTTCCTCCTCCTCCTCCTCCTCCTCCTCCTCCTCCTCCTCCTCCTCCTTCTCCTCCTCCTCCTTCCCCTCCTCCTCCCCTCCTCCTCCTCCTCCTCTCCTCCTCCTCCTCCTCCCTTCCCCCCGCCTGTTCCTCCCGTCTGCTGCCCCCTGGCCCCCCCCCCCCCCCCCACACTGAGATCCGACGTTGCCGAAGTACAGTCGGGGCGCTGGCCTCAAGGATCCCTGCATAAAAGGAACGAGGCCCCTTCTCTCCAGAAGTGACACTTCGATGTCCGATCAAAAGCCTGAGGAGGAAAGCCTGAGGCAGGCCGTGAAACACACATCAAGGAACGCGGAGCCCCTCCCCAACGAAGAGGGCTCCTTCCTCAGGGCCCCGACTGCACGTCGGCGCCATCGGCGTTGAGAGGATCTGGCTCCACACCGAAAATGCATCGCCAATGCATTCTCGATGCGGGGCCGTCCTCCGAACCCCACGTCGTGCTTGCTTGGGGAGGACGCGCGGGAGGACACGAGATCCTCCCGAGGGCCACGCCGCCCCTGGACTGCCAGAGGACGGGGAAGACGAAACACCGGATACGAGGGCACCCTTGGTCTGGAAGGGCCAGCCTGCGAATCACACCCGACCGTGCCTCGACCCCATTCGGGAAGCCTCGAGCCTTGCAGGGCCGCAGCGAGCTCCGTCCGCAGCAGCTCTCGCAGGGGCCCGCGGAGGCAGTCCTCCAGCTCCCCGCGCACGACCGAGCGCACCTCGGGAGCGGCAAAGAGGGGGGCGTCAAAGGAGGGGGGGGGTGCAACTCATGACCGGCGGCATGTGCGCGGCCCCGCGGGGGGGGGCCAGGGACGTAACGAAATAAGAAGAGGCGCCATGAAATCTGCGGAGATATCTCGGCGCTGGACAAACCTCCCTTTAGTAAACCTCCCCTTAGTGAAAACGACCTAGGGCCGAAATCGACGGACCTGGACCCGCAAAATGACGGCCGCGACGCCCTCTCGCGAACCGAAAACGGCCAATTCCTTAATCGACGCGTCAGGGTAGGAGGTCTGTCCACCTCCGAATAGCATGGCCCCCGCCATGAGATCCACCCCCCCCTCGTCATCACCCCCCTCTTTTCCGCCCCCGAGCACGACGTCGGCGAAGGGCTCCGAGATCGCGGCTCTGGCGTCCGCGGCCTTGCCGCCCTGGATCTTGTTCCTGGCCGGGCGGAGAGCCGTCCGTAACCATTGCCTGGGGGATCGAGCGTCGGGGGCCTCGGCAGGCCTCCTCCTCCTCCTCCTCCTCCTCCTCCTCCTCCTCCCTTTCGTCCCCCTCCTCCTCCTCCTTCTTCTCCTCCTCCTCCTCCTCCTCCTCCTCCTCCTCTTCCTCCTCCCCCCCCTCCTCCTCCTCCTCCTCCTCCTCCTCCTCCTCCTCCTCCTCCTCCTCCTCCTCGGTGGATGCGGATGTATTTCCCCCCCACGGCCCGAGTATATCCGCATCCGCCGCCGGCCGGGACCCCCGAAGCTCGATCCCCCAGGCGATGGTCGTGGAGGAATCCCCGCCTCGGAGTCCTGCTGCTCATGGGTGGGCGTGGAGAGTGTTCAAGCTCGGTCGTTGTGGCCTTGCGCTCGCGCACCATTGGCTTTCAGACGCAGCAGACGAAGCGTGGCGCAACCTGGAGCCGAAAGGAACACAGAGGACAAGGGGGAGGGGAGGAGGGAGGAGGTAGTAGGACCGAGGAAGGGGATGCGGGAGGGATGGGAGAAGAAGGAGAAGGGATGAAGAACTCGGATTCGGAACTTGGATGTCCTCGAAAGTCCGCCAAGGCCGGCACTGCCGGGGGTGTGCAGGACGCGGGGGAAAGGGGGAGACATGATGGCATCAGAGTGCCTAACCTTCCACTGTGCTCTTGAATCTTCCCTTTTCTTCTCTTCCCTTTCCTCATGCTCCGCATTGGCACGAGACGGCCTCAAAGACACCTCCCAAGAGGCTCCGAGACGGCTCCACGCCTCCCAAGCGACGACCTCCAGATGCCTACATTCTTAAACAATCAAATGCGCGACGAACCAAACGGGCCTTGCGCGAGATGCTCTTGACGCTCTTGACTACTTCGAGGGAGTCCCCCGCTCGCACTAGCGAAACCCGTCACGAGTCGCCCCTTCGGCAAACTCCTCGGGGAAGCACGCGTCCGAGCGATGCCACGTCAAGACGGCTCCACGCCTCCCAGGCGACGACCCCCAAATTGGGCGCCCGAGTTATCCGGGGTAACTCGGGTCCGGGGTAACTCGGGCTTGGATTCCCGAAAAAGAAACCCGAGTTATCCCTGACCCGAGTTACCCCTGATGATTCGGGGCTCTGGACGCCCGAGTTATCCGGGGTAACTCGGGTCCGGGGTAACTCGGGCTTGGATTCCCGAAAAAGAACCCGAGTTATCCCTGACCCGAGTTACCCCTGATGATTCGGGGCTCTGGACGCCCGAGTTATCCGGGGTAACTCGGGTCCGGGGTAACTCGGGCTTGGATTCCCGAAAAAGGAACCCGAGTTAGCCCTGACCCGAGTTACCCCTGATGATTCTGGGGCTCTGGACGCCCGAGTTATCCGGGGTAACTCGGGTCCGGGGTAACTCGGGCTTGGATTCCCGAAAAAGGAACCCGAGTTAGCCCTGACCCGAGTTACCCCTGATGATTCGGGGCTCTGGACGCCCGAGTTATCCGGGGTAACTCGGGTCCGGGGTAACTCGGGCTTGGATTCCCGAAAAAGGAACCCGAGTTAGCCCTGACCCGAGTTACCCCTGATGATTCGGGGCTCTGGACGCCCGAGTTATCCGGGGTAACTCGGGTCCGGGGTAACTCGGGCTTGGATTCCCGGAACCCGAGTTATCCTGACCCGAGTTACCCCTGATGAACGCCCGAGTTATCCGGGGTAACTCGGGTCCGGGGTAACTCGGGCTTGGATTCCCGAAAAAGGAACCCGAGTTAGCCCTGACCCGATTACCCCTGATGATTCGGGGGCTCTGGACGCCCGAGTTATCCGGGGTAACTCGGGTCCGGGGTAACTCGGGCTTGGATTCCCGAAAAAGGAACCCGAGTTAGCCCTGACCCGAGTTACCCCTGATGATTCGGGGGCTCTGACCAAATGCCAACATTCTTCAACAGTCAAACGAGCGACGAAACCAACGGGCCCTGCGCGAGATGACACGGCGACCTCGCGCGGCGGCTCGCGCAGGCCGCCCGCGCGGCACGCTGCACTGGAGTCGAGGGCGCTCACGCGGGACCTTACACGCGGCGCCGGCGCGCCCGAGAGGCCATCGGGGCCCAGCAAACCAGCCCGAGGAGGAGGAGGAGGAGGAGGGGGAGGAGGAGGGGGAGGAGGAGGAGGAGGAGGAGGGGGGGAGGAGGAGGAGGGGGAGGAGGAGGAGGAGGAGGAGGAGGAGGAGAGGAGAGGGAGGAGGAGGAGGAGGAGGAGGAGGAGGAGGAGGAGGGGAGGAGGAGGAGGAGAGGAGGGGAGGAGGAGGAGGAGGAGGAGGAGGAGGAGGAGGGGGAGGGGAGGAGGAGGGGGGAGGGGGAGGAGGAGGGGGAGGAGGAGGAGGAGGAGGAGGAGGAGGAGGAGGAGGAGGGGGAGGAGGGGGAAGGCCAGCTCTGCGAACCACGGGCGCCCCCATCCCGTCCCTGCGACATCGACACGGAGGACGGGCCCAGGGGACTCGCCGAGGCCGAGCTGACCAAGGACGCGCTTGAACCAGACAGCTCCAGGTGCAGAGCCTGCTCGTTCCCATGACGAGCGCATCCTGCTCACATTGCTCGCTGCCGCCCCGCTACCCACGCCAGCAGGAACCACTGGATCGTCCCGCCGCACACACGGAGATGGACCTCGATCCGACCCCGCATGACGTCCTACCCCCCCCCACGTCAGAGAGGGGCCCAGCTTGTCAATCTTTATGATCGAGAAATGGAACGTGTATTGGCTGCAGGCATGCGTCGTGGAATTGCCACTGGATGCGAAGTCTTCCATTGTCGCATCGCTCAACCAATACACTCAACCCGTCTTGGACTACCTATGTTGCTTAAGCTACCTCCTCCCCATCGGTCTCCCCTCCCCTTCACTCCATCCTCCTCCTCCTCCTCCTCCTCCTCCTCCTGCTCCTCCTCCTCCTACTCCTTCTCCTCCGCGGGAAAGGGCGTGTCTTGGGCCCATGGCACAAGAGCTGGTCAGCGCCCCCACCAGGAGCAGAACCAGGTCTTGGAGCTGTGCGTCCGCCGAGGCGTCGGGATCATAAGCAATGGCCGCCGCTCATCCCTGGTCTGCAGCATCCTCCTCCTGCTCTTCTTGGTGCAGGGCGTGGTCATGCCCCCGGCCAGCGATGGCAGTGCTGCTGGTGTGGCCGCAAGAAGAATGAAGGCCGCTTCTACTTCTGCAAGCACTGCGGCGCGCTCAAGTCCGACTCCGCGGTTCCATCCTCCACGTGGACTCCCGGCTCCTCGCTGGCCCTCTTCGGCGACACCTCTGGAGGCGGAGGCAAAGGCGCTGGAGGTAAAGGTCAAGGCGCTGGTGGTAACGCGGCTGGACCACCCGAAGTCGGAGGCAAAGGAGCTCCGGCTGCGGCTGGAGCAGGCGGTCCTGAACCGGACAAGCCACCCCTCTCTCCCGAGGAGTACCTCCAGTTGTCCAACTTGTGCGACAAGATGGGCGACAAGCGATCGGCCGTCGCGTACAAGACAGCGGCAGACGCGCTACGGAAGCCATCTGCTGCGCCCGAGAGCTTGCAGGTCCGCCTCCAGAAGGCGCATGGCAAGGCTCGCGGGGTCGAGAGGCGGCTGGAGGCCGCATGCACCAAGTTCGACCTGCTGGAGTCGCAGCTGGAGCTGCAGCGCACGACCGTTGTTCAGTTGCGCGCCGAGCTGGTGGCTGCTGAGGCGGAGCACGGCGACTTGGTGCGCAAGCTCCACGAGCAGCTTCCCGCCCCCGCTGCCCAGGAGCAGGCTGGCACCAGGCTTTCGATGGACGATTTGCTGGACGAGGCGAGGTTCGCGGCGGCCTTCGACGTCGACCTCGGCTCTACCTTCCAAGTGGACGCGGATTCGGAGCTCCCCGAGTCCGATCAACGGGAGCTCACGAACAGGGCCGACCAGTTCAAGGCCAGCATCGCGTCCACGGCAAAGTCCCTCTTCGCGGAGGCGAAGACCAAGGTCGACGGGATCAAAGCTGAGCACGCGGCACTGGCCGCCCGCATGGCTGCCAAGAAGCGTCGCACTGGCGATGACGGCGACGGCGTGGCAGCAGGTGGAGCAGCACCCGCTGGAGGCACTGCCGGCGGCGGCGGAGGCACAGGCGCTGCGGCTGCAGCTCCTGCGGCTGAGCCCCCAGGCGCACCGGCGGCGGCTGAGGCGGAAGAGGGTCTGGCTGGCCCCGAGGCCGCGAAGGCTCCGCCAGCCTCTGCATCGATTCGTTCAAGAGCTGATCGCATCGCAGGCAAAGGCGCGCCTGCGGAGCCCTCCCCCCCTGGAGCTGACGCATAATTTTTCGGTGCTGGGCCTTAGGGAAGGCACCTATGTGCAAGCGCTCCAGGGGGGGTCGGAACTCTCTTTTCAACCGCTGCCTGGAGCGCGATCTCTGGCGCAGCTCGCTCTTTGGCGCAGGAGGGGGATGCCCCTGCTGCTTGCCCAGTGCGCAGGGGAGCCTGCGCAGCAGCGTCTGTCTCGCCCTCGCTGGTCAGCGTTGCTTGCTCGTTCTCTTGCTGTGCTCAATGGTGTCAGTTCTGTCTCGTCCATTGTCCACGCAAGCGTGCAGCATGTTTTTTCGTTTGCCGTCAGTTGCACATCATTTGCTCGTCAGCAGGCGCCAGTCAATTTCGCCACCCCTGCTCGTGCATATCCAGTGCTCTCTTTGGCAAAGTCTGCCGCTCACCGCGTCTCTTGCGTGAAGCTGCCGCTTGAGATGCCTACGCTTATCAGTCAGCACGAGGCTTCCCTCTCCGTTTTGTCTAATGAGCGTCCTTTTGATGATGCAGCCCCGCTTTTTCCTTCCCCCTTCGATCCTCCTCCTCCTCCCTCTTCGCCTCCTGCGGCGGAGGCTGCGACGACCGAGGGGCAAACTGTGTGCAAAATAAGTGGTGGATGCCCCTACTCCGCCGCCGGTAAACCTCTATATGACGCTAGCACACCAACTATCCCAGGGCATACATACGGTTTGGTCGGGCCTCTCTGGCACGGGGGATCCGCCCCTTCAGCAGAGTGGCCGCCCGCTGCATTGCACGCCAACTTACCCCTCCTTTCCTCGTCTCCCTCTGTGTTTGGCGGGGGCCTGGCCGACGTTCCTGGGCGCTGCGCCAGCATTTCAATTTTCCCTGGACCTGAGGCTCCGCTTTCTTTTTCCGGCCACGCCGCCCAGAGTCCTGGAAGTGCGAGTGCGGGCCAGGGGTTTCAATGCGAGCATTCTCCACAGAATATCGATCGCGTGTCCCTCAAGGGTGAAATCCATGTTGGAAGGAGCTAACACGCATGTGGTGGTGTGTCAAGAACACAGGTTGC